ATATTTGTGTCTCTCTTTCTTTCTTTCTCTGTCTCTCTCTCTCTCTGTCTCTCTATCTCTTTCTCCTTCCTGGCCTCTCTGTCTCTCTCTCTCTCTCTCTGTCTCTCTATCTCTTTCTCCTCCTCCCCCTGGCGCCCTGAACTTGTTTATCGTGGGGCTGGTTATCCTGGGAAAACGAGGCACGTGAGCTACCCTACACGAGCAGATGAAAATTTTAATGTTCATCAAGCGTTTACAAATTAAATCTAATAAGTTTTAAACTTTGGATGTTTGCTATCTCCTTCTCCTCTCCTCCTCTTGCTCTTTCTCCTCCTCCTCCCTCAAGGATGTCTCAAGCGAAATAAGCAATACTTTGAAGATGTCTCAAGCGAAACAGACAAATGTTTCGAGGATGTCTCAATCGAAACAAGCAATTCGTTGAGGATGTCTCAACCGAGACAATCCTCAAGATATCTTTTGCTTTTTCCTCTTGATATCTCTTTATGCTGGCTCTGGCGGGCAACTTTTATTATCTCCCCGAAAACCCCGAACTTTATTATCCCTGGGGGGTTATTCTCGTGGGTTCAGGGTTAATCGCCCCACGCTATTTGTTTTTACCATTTTTGAGCATTCCTCCTGTAGAGGGACGTGCCCGAATTAGCCCTAGGGTGCTCTGTGCGCCTCTCTCAGGCGTGTTGGGATTGCGGCTGCTTCAGTCTTCTCCTGGGCTTGGCCTGATGGAGTTGTCACCAATCCGGTGACTATTGCCCTGTCAGGATCCAAGTGCTCTTGTATCGTCCCGTGGAGGTCCGTCCATACAGTGGGGGCGCGCAGCAAGAAACCATATGTTTTCCGTCAGGGTACCCTGATTTTCTTCGGTCCGCACCCCGCGAGGTGGCTTCCCGCAGCCGGGGAAGGAGCGGCTGCGTTCAGGGTGCTCCAGGTTTTCCTTCGGGTGCACCTCGCGCGCGGGTTTCTTGCGGCCGCGCCCGCACTGTGTGCAACGATGGCCGATCATCTGGAGCAGCCCGAGCTGTCTGATGGTATCTTTCTCAGTCCCCTTGAAGCTCTTCTTGGCAGCAGCAGCAGCAAGCTCACAGGAGACCAGTAGGCTCACCTCAGGTCTAACACAGTTGGAGGTCAGTGGCCTCAGACGAGGCAGTGGGTTGCAGGATACCCGATGTCGCCAGCCTGTTTGCCCTGCCCTTCCAAGGAAGGCACGCTGACGCATCGGCACTGCTCTTGTTCCAGGCTTGCGGTCCTCGAGGGCCCGCCTCCATCCCGTGCCAGTGCGGAGGCAGCGGCTGTTGGATCGCCGCTCGCCCTCTTGCCGAAAGATGTCGAGTGCCCATGCCCAAGCTTGTGAGGCCTCCCTCGGGACCTCCTGTCACCTGGGGGCTCGGAGGCCCAACAGGCTTCTCGGTTGATGTTTTCCCAAAGGCTCCGCTTCTGAAGCTTACCATCTGGCCTTCGCCAGTGTTGGTGGGGGGTGCGGCGCTCTTCATCCCGACAGGGATCAGATCGTGGCCAGTGTCTTTGGCCCAGTGGCAGACCCGTTACATTGCATCAGCGCTGTTGCGTTGCATGTTGGTATCCGAAATTCTGCGCTTTGCGCTTCCGCCTGTTCGGGTACACACAGGCTCTCTGTATGCGCACGACGATTTCCGCGAGCGCGGTCAGTCCGACACCGCTGCTCGTGTGGCCTCTCACGCTCACTTGTGGAGGCTCTTTTGGCAGCTCCACGAGGAATGGGGAGGAGGGTTTTGAGTTGTTCATAGTCAAGGGCCACGTGGCCCAGGTTGACGTCGATTTAGGCCGCATCACGTGGCGACAGCGCTTCGGTAACAGGAAGGCCGACGAGTGCGCCCGAAATGCTGCCGAGTTTGCCAAGCTCGACCTTCGCCCTCGGCAGCAGCCCAAAGCCAGGAGCAAAGTTCTCACTGGTTGAGGGATTTGGGCGGGTCGTCTTGGGGAGGGACTGGAGGATTGCGGCCATCCTGCCCAGCATCTTCGAGGCAAGGCCCCTGTCAATCAGCTCGTTCTCGTCAAGTTTCCCGCGCCCTCTGACATCGTCAGTCGTGTCATTGCTGCCCAGAGGAGGCTTGGCGCGGGCTCTAAGTTTCATGCCACTGTCAAGCTCCAGCTGCAACATGGTTCCGCTCGTGGTTGGATGCGCTTGCTGTGCACTTTGCGCCCTTGCGCGTGTCCCGAACTTGGGGGTCCCCTGTCCCCCTCGGGTTTGGGACTGGGCTTCCAGGTGCCTCAGTAGACTCGCGAAACGGGAATTCAAACTCGGCACGAAGGTGTACGGTGGACCGAGTTGCTAAGCAGTCTAGATTACAAGCCTAGTGCAGCGCCCCAAATTGGTTTCAGTATGGTTGATTAAGTCATGTCGCAGGCAGCGCCCAGGAGGAGGGCGGGGGAGACGGAGGAGGAGGAGGAGGAGGAGGAGGAAAAGGAGGAGGAGGAGGAGGACGAGGAGGAGGAGGGGAAGAGAGGAAGGAGAGAGGGAAGGAGGAGGAAGAGGAGGAGGAGGAGGACGAGGAGGAGGAAGAGGAGGAGGAGGAGGAGGACAAGGAGGAGGAGGAGGCGGAGGAGGAGGAGGAGGAGGAGCGTGGAGGAGAAGGAGAAGGGAGGACGACGGCGAGGAGCAAGAGACAGCGATATTCGTATGGAAAACAAGCGAACCATGGACCTTGGACACATACGGACCCCTGGCCACACTAGGCGACAGGGGAGGTTTTCCTTGATTGCTCGGCCAATGAAGCATGAAGCCTGTCAGCGAAAGCCGGCACGCAGCTGTCAGAATAGTAGTTTGCACCGAAGAGCTTTCACGGTCGCTAAGGCAGGGCCTCCATGGACTGGAGCGGAACAGCACAGCTGGACACCGCAGGAGGACGACTCGGACCGAGGGAGGGAATGTGGGAGGGGAGGGGCGAGGTGAGGGAGGGAGGGGTCAGGGGGAGGGGGGAGGGAGGGGGGGAACGGGGGGGGGGGAGGGGGGAGGGAGGGAGCGAGGAAGGACGGGGGGAGGGGGGGGAGAGAGGGGGCAGGGGGGAGGGGGGGAGGGAGGGGGGCCTTGAGATCCGGGCGTATCCAGCTTTTCGCGCACCCGGCGTTCTCGCCGGGTTTCGGGCCCCCTGGCCCTCACCGATCGGTCCGGCTCGAAAAATTGTGCAGAAAGGTGAGGTCTAGGGCGTAAAATCTGCAACGTATCGTGTGGGCATCGTGTGAACATGTTCACAGCAATCGTCGCGCTGCATGGGCCTGACGACAGCGCACTGTATGTTGTAGAAATGATGTGTTTGATTTGTGGTGTGTGCGTTGTCGTGCCAATGTGTGTGTGTGCGTGTGTGTGTGTATGTATGTATGTATGTGTGTGTGTGTGTGTGTGTGTGTGTGTGTGTGTGTGTGTGTGTGTGTGTGTGTGTGTGTGTGTGTGTGAGCTGCTGCTGCCCCCCCCCCCGGCTGCTCATCGTGGAACCTTTCGACGTCTGAGCGTCCCTTCTTCCTCTCGGCCGTCCTCCTTCCTTTTTGCCCGCCGGCCAATTCGCTAGTTTTTGCCCCTTTCTAGCTTCTCGCTGGAGCTGAGTTCGCCGCCTCACCGCCGACGGAAAAAGTGTTCGTGCCAATGTGGTCGCGTATGTGCTCGTACGCGTGCTGGTGTGCTGGAGATGTTGCGCTTCTGCGTGTGTATGCTGCGCGCGTTCAATATACTCGTTCGTGGTGGGCACTCATGAAGCACATCCCCAGCTGCAGAGCACATCCCCAGTGAGAGCAAGGTGTGCGTGAGAGCAATAGGAGGAGTGAGGCCGACGAGAAGGGAAGAGGTAGGAGGAGGAGGAGGACGAGGAGGACGAGGAGGAGGAGGAGGAGGAGGAGGAGGAGGAGGAGGAGGAGAAGGAGGGAGGACGTTGGAGGAGGAGAGGGGAGGGAGAAGGGAGGCGGGAGGAGGGAGGAGGGAGTGGGGCGGGGAGAGGAGGTAGGAGGGAGGAGGACGAGAGGGGGAGGAGGAGGGAGAAGGAGGAGGAGGAGGAGGAGGAGGAGGAGGAGGAGGAGGAGGAGGAGGAGGAGGAGGAGGAGGGGGGTGCAGGAGAAAGAGGAGGGAGCAGGAGGCGGAGGAGGCGGAGGAGGGAGCAGGAGGCGGAGGAGGCGGAGGAGGAGGAGGAGGAGGAGGAGGGAGCAGGAGGAGGAGGGAGGAGTCTACAGGTTGTTATGATATGCATCACCCAGACGCCCGACGTCTTGAGTGTCTCACGTCTGGGCCCCTGGAGGTCTGGGGCCGGCCCCAGGGGCCCTGCGGGGGCCCCCGTGGCCGAAGATATTGGACAAGGTCCGCCTCGATTTTTAATGCATTCTTATTATTATTGTTATTCTTATTAGTATTGTTATTATTATTGTTGTTATCATTAGTGTTGTTATTATTATTGATGTTGTTATTATTCTTATTAATGTTATTATTATTGTTATTATTATTGTTAGTATTAGTATTGTTGTTATTATTATTTTTGTTGTTATTATTATTGTTAGTTCTGCTGGGTCCGAGGGGCTCTTTTTGGGGAGGCCAGAAGGGTTCCACCTTACACACTCTCTACTTACACCGCGCCTCAGGCCACACGCACGCCCCGGGGGCCAGCCAAGGGAGGGGGGCCCGAGGGACCGCCTGCGGCCCACGAACGGCGGGCGCCCGCCGAAGGGCCCAGCAGCCACCTTGGGGCCACACGCGCGGGACGGGGGCCGAGGCAGGTGTAGGCCGCTCTCCACGTTACTCCCCCTGGCTTAGCCGTGAAACACCTCTCCAAACCCCCCTGCACGCGACCTTCGTGAGACCTGCTTTTTGGGCGCTGGGCCCAAGAAGGCCCACCCGAGGGCCTCTAAAGGCCTGCCCAGCGCCCCGCAGGGGCCTGGGACCCCGGGGAGAACGGGCCCCGGGCAACAAAAACAAAAAGGAGGAATAGTGAAGGAGGCGTGAGGGTTGGGAAGAGGAGGACGATAGCAACATAATACAATGAGAAGAAACGTTACAGCGAGGCAAGGATGCTCGCAAACGCAGTGCCACGCTCTCTGAGGGCGCGAACGAGTTCATCGGACAGCATCTGTTGCGCCAGGACGGCGAGCCCGTCATTTATATAAATGCGGGCCGTCCTGCTGTCGTTCCAGCGCCCACGGTGCACCGTCCGCGCCATGTCGCCGTGAGCCAGCAGGTCGTGGGTAGCTCCTCCTCGCCTCAGCGAGTACGGCAGGAGCTGCAGCGAGCTGAGGCCCAGCGCGGCGCACCCCTGCTCGAACAGCCGCCGATACGCCACGCCCGTCCCCTCCAGGAGCCGGGCGCCAGGCCCACGCCAGCTCTTGAGCGCCTCCAGCGCTCTGCCCACGACGAGGTCGTCGACGGTGATGATCTCCTGCGCTCCTCGCCGCGCGCCGCTCTTGGACCATGGCAGGGCTATGACCCCGGTGCCCCTTGCACCGATGGCCACGTGTTCGAATGCCATACTGAACATCTCACCAGTGCGCATGAGGCAGTGGAAGGCGGCAATCGTGACGATGGCGGCGTCGCGGCGGCCCTGAACCCACATCCAGTGCCCCAGCGCGAGCAGCATGATAGAGTTCAGCGGGGGCGCGCGGCTGGGCATCTCGATCCGGCCCCACACGCGGAACAACTCCCAGGCGCCCGGGAACACGCGCCTGCGGCTCAGGATGAACTGGATGCCACTGAGCGTGTCGCCAGCGAGGTTCCTGCCCTCGCCTTCTAGCCAGAGATGCTCCAAGTACACACAGAGCTGCTCGTCTAACTGGTGAGGTTCCACTGCGAGCGGCCAGCCAGCCTGTTGCTGGTGTCGTACAAACATAGCAGCTGCACGATGATAACGAATTCGGGTTCGGGGAACAACACGTTGAAATCGCAAGGGCCCGAGCGCCCGCCGCGCCTGAGCCCGACTCGCTTGGTCTGGGTACAGCTGGAGCCGCCTAGGCATCTTCCTGCTGCCTGCGGCTTGGGGCGTCGGACGGGTTGTCACCGCTCCGACAGAACCCCAAGATGGCCACACTCCCGGAGGCCATTTCCAACGCTGCCACTTTGCGAGCCACGCGATTCAACTGTATGCTTCCCGAACGATGCTTGGCCAAGACAGCAATGGAGACCTGACTGTCCAGCAGATGCAGAAACTTGCATTCGAGGTTCTTCTCCGCGCGCAGCCGCCACCGGAGCGCTGAGAGAAAGGCCCTCATTTCCAATTCGTTGATGTGAGCCTTCTCCCGCCAGTGAAACTGCACCACCGTGCGCCAGCGCCACCAGCCAGGAGAGATGGGCTGCCGCGGCCAGCCCGAGGGATGGAAGAGCTCACCTGTCGACACGCGAACGTCACTGCCCTTGGTGCTGGTAGACCTCATGACGTCCAGCGCCAGCGCCTGCTCGGGGGCGAATCCGCGGGTGACGAGCGACACACTTTGCCTGGGCCTCGACCTATCGCGCAGCTCGTCGACGGACGGCGGCGCTGCGAGGAACCCCCACTGCGTGGCCAAGTGCCCGAGCAGCCAGGCCACCACCTCGACGTGGAACGCGTTGCCGAGGAGCCCGCACCTCACGCACTCGGCCTGGCGTGGGTCACTCTTCAGGACGCTGGAGGTGACAGCCACCTGCGTGTGACCTCTACGGTACCCCATGAGGACTTCGCGCTCCTCGGCCGACGGCGGGCGCAGCTGGCCCTCGTGCAGCACGCAGTGCCTGTCGATGTACTGGTAGGGGGGCAGGCTGAAGTCGTCGTCGGCCCACCTCGCCAGCGCCGCGTCGTCGCACTGGTTGATGCCAGCCGGACGCGGCCGGGGCTCGGACCGTCGGTCGCGCCCCACAGCCGTCGGCAGGCGTGCCGCAGGATCAGCACTCGCCGCCCACGTGGCACCAGGCGAGAGCCATCTCGAGGTTGGCCCGGGGTCCGCGTCGACCTTCACCTGCAGCCAGGCGCCCTGGTCGACCAGCGCGACGCCGCTTACCTCGCAGAGCTCGAACGAGCACCAGTAGAGGCGAGGCCGTCGCATGTGGCACACCTGGCTGGCGCACAATCTGAGAGGCCGGACGCCCAGGAGCTCGGAGACCGCGGCGATGTCCTCCTTGTCCGCCGAGTCCACATTCGATCTCGAAGAGGAACTCGCACTGCCAGGACTCGAACACCTCCACTACCAGGTCTAAAATGCGGATGACGTCACTGATGAGCCCTGACCTGGGGTCCTGCAGGCCCTTCCTGGAGACGTTGAGCCTGCTGAGGCCCTGGCAGGGGAAGCCGCCGGTGACGATCAGCTTGCGGCCCCGGGCGCACCCATGCTTGATGGTGAGCAGCACCTCCTTCGAGATCTCCTTCACGTCGCCCAGCTCCTTAACGTTCGGCCACGCATTTCTCGTGACACGCGAGGCCGTCGCATCGGTCTCGGCAGAGACGAACCACAGGGTCTCCAAGCCAAGGGCTCCCCAGCTCTCCCGCGCGCCGCCAATGCCGTCGAAGAGGCTCAGCAAGACAACCTCCTCCTCGCTGGCTTGCCACGGGACGCGGCCGACACGCTCCAGCGCCTCTTCGCCAGCACCGGAGAGCCCCCTGCTCACGCACACAGCGCCCCCGCTCGGGCTGGCGTCGGAGCAAGAGACGACAGGCGACACGTGCAGGCGGAAGTCGGTGAAATAAAGCGGCGCCAGCTGCATGGCCAGGAGCAGCTCGTCCATCACCGCCAACGGCGCGGCCCAGCAGCGGTGCGAGCGGGACATCCACCTCCAGACCTTCTCGAAGCACGCCATGCCCGCGCGCTGGTGTGAGCAGACCCTGACCCAACGGCCCAGCACGATCTGCCAGTGCTTCTTATTCACACCGGGGCGTCCCAGGACCCACAAGGCGAGGGAGATGAGGCTGACCACGTAGCCGCGCGGCGCCTCCTTCCTCCCCAGGTCGCCGTCGATGTGGTCGCCCAGCGCCTGCACCTCGCTGGCCCTGAGCACGTCCTTGGCAGGTACGCCCGGCGTGCCGCACCGCGCATACGCCTCACGAGCAGCCAGCAGGAGCGGGCTCACGGTACCCTTGAGCACCTCGCCGTCCTCGCGCGTGACAACCTCCTGCGCCTCCAAGTTACCGATGTAGACTTCCCAAGCCTCGACCTCCTGAGCCAGGGCCGTGAGAGGCGCCGGGCGATCACGTCGCCACTCGGCCTCCCTCGGCAGGCTGGCGGACAGCTGCCACCCCTGCCGCAAGATGTTGCGGTGGATGTGCTGAGCGATGCCCGTCGCAGAGATCCAGCCCATCGCCACCGTGGTGCTGGCAACGTACACGCGAGGCTCGCTCGGGCGCCCGACGAGCCGCCCTGGGACTGGGACCTCGAAGGCCATGAACTTCCTCCAGCAGGGCGGCAACCTGAACACGTAGAAGAAACACTGACGATCCGTGGAGGTCCAGAGCATCATCTCGTGGGCGAGCAAAACGATCGTAGACCATTGCGACGAGAGCGGCAACTGGTCCATGTCGCCGCCGACCACACGCTGCACGACGTTCGACGGGACGAGGTTCATGATGAGCCTGAGGACGTGCCCCATGGTGCCGTCCTTGAGCGGGATGATGCGCTCGGTCCCCTTGCGCACGCCGAACGCCCCGCACAGCACGGCCCGCCCGTCCACGTGCAGCACATCCTTCAGCGCGATCGGCTCCACGAGGCCACGGTCCCACAGGACGGCCACGAGGTCGTACCAGGTCTGCAGCGGCGCCCAGATCTTGGCGCGCGGGACCTGGGCCGGTCGCACGCCCTTCGGCAACAGCATCGCATCCGCATCGAGCAGCGCCTCGCGGACGTTCCCCTCGCAGAGATTCACCGCGTCCACCGAGGCCGCGATGCCCTTGGGCGGGAGCGCCGGCACCACCTGCTCCACGGACAGCGTCTCGGCCGTGCCGATCTCCTCGCCGTCGTAGGCCACGCGCTTCTTTGCCAGCTCAGCTGCCCAGTCCGTCGGCGAGAGCGGCGTGGGGCAACTCTTCAGGAAGAGGATCGCTGCCCGCGCCAGCCTCCTCACGGCCCTCATCTGAGTGGGGCTGGCCGGGCCTGCCAGCACACACCGCTCCTCCGACGCCGCGCAGTTGGCGTACAGGTGGTTCAGCGCGATGATCATCAGGTATACCCGCTGCTTGGTCGCGACTAGCTGCGGCTTGTCACTCGCTCCGAATGCGACGAGCTCCTCATCACTCAACGCGAAAAAGGGGAGAGGGAGCAGGTCACGTTGCCTCCCTTCAGCCCTAGGAGTTGGCCTCCCTCCAACAGCTGTGAGCTCTCGCGCCACCTGACCAAGACGAGTGGGCAAAGTCCTGACCAGGCCGAGTAGGACCTGCGGCACGTCCGTGGCGTCGCACTCCTGCACGCTCCTGGCGGCTGCCGCGACAGCGCGCGCGGGCCGCAGGTCAGCTGCCGCTGCACCCTCGCCTGCGCCCTGCCCGAGCGGGGCCGCGGCTGGAGGACCTCGCCCGGATGTGGGCGCAGCACCAGGGGCAGGGGCGGCGGCTACCGCCCGCGGCCGCGCCCGCGGCTCTTGCCACCGCCCTTCGCAGGCCCGCGGCCCTGCCCGCGGCGCTTCGGCGTCGGCGACCGAAGGCGCTGGACCCAGGGCGGCAGACCCTCCGTGTCCGTGTCGCCCCCCTTCAGCTGCGCCTTCCTCGTGGCGCCGTTCGCCAGCAGGGCAGGAGGATCTGCCGCGGCGCTCTCCACGGCCTCGACCTCCGGTGCGAACGCCACCCGCGGGCCCGTCGCCGGCGGCGCCGGCCGCGCCCCGTTGCTGGGGCTCGGGCCGCGCCTTGGCGAGGGCGACCGCCTCTCGGGCGACGCCCGACGCGGGGGGACAGCTGGCGGCGCCGCCTCCGCGGACCCTCGGCCCCGGCCCCGCCCGCGGCGGCGGCGGCTGCGGCGGCCCGTCGAGGCGCCAGGGCGCGCTGGCAAGCCAGAGAGGGAGCTGGGCTCGCCCAGAGGGCTGGGCGAGCGGGCAGGTCGCCTCAGGGAAGGAGCGGCTCCTCGCTCCTCGCCCCCGCGGAGTCCCTAGCCCGCGCCACCTCGCCCCTGTGCCTTGGACCGCAGGTCCGCGAGCTTCGCCCTCATGAGCGCGTGGCGCGCCGCCGCCTGGCGCTCGGTCACGCTCGCCAGCCCAGGCGTCTCCTCGGTGAGCTCCAGCTGGCTCGCCACGCCCCAGTCCTTGTCGCGCACGCTCGTCTCCAACGCCTTCAGCCTCTGCATCAGGAGGTCCCCGAGCTCGGGGAGGCGCCCCTGGAGAAGGGCGTCGAGCGCCGCTGCGACCGTCCTCATCTCCTTCACGGCGTGCACGCTGATCGTGGACTGGGGATGCTGGCCGAAGAAGATGCTCGTGAGATAGGTCATGACCCGCGCCGTGTTCGCCCCCGACGTGTGATCCGCCCCCTCCCGCTCGCCAAGGAAACGGGCCATCTCCGCAAGGCCGGCATCCAACAGGGCTCCGGGTTGCTCCCGAGCGATCTCGTGGATCCTGTTGTTGCCGGAGCCGGAGGGGGCATCGCGAAAAAGCGGCTCGCCGTCGCCGTCGTCGTCATCGAGCAGCGGATCGGCCCTGCGCTGCCTCTTCGTCGCCACTGCAAACAAGTCCAGGCGCGAGCCAGCCTTCCTCTTCAGCGCATTCTTCAGCTCCTCGATCTTGGCCGTGAGCTTGCGCTCGTCACCTCCGCCGCCTGCGGCAGCCCCGCCTCCAGCGGCAGCAGCGCTCGGCGGCCCGAAGATGACCTGGCGGCGCACCCACGGCTCGCAGATCCCCGACGACGCGCGCACGCGCAGCGTGTCCACGTGGTACACGAGGCGAGCACCAGCGCGGGCGCTGCAGGCCTCCCGCGCCCCGGAGCACAGGTGGACGAGGGGCGGCTGCGCCCACAAGTCGCCCAGCACGCCCGTAGCGACGGGCGACGACGCACCCGCGAACTCGGCGAGGCCGAAGGTGCCGAGCGCGTCCGCGGCCCACTGCAACCCCAGCTTCAGGAGGGCCGAGCCGTCGCAATTCCCTTCGACGTCGAAGGTCGGCACCTCGACGATCGCGCCCGGTTGCACGCCGACCTGCGAGAGCGCCGCCGGCTGCAGGCCCTTGCCCAGCCAGGCCGAGTCGCCAGGGGGTGCCAGCCCAGGGAGGCCCGCAGCGAGGACCGGCGCCCGCGCCGCCACGCCTGCCGCGGGCGGCACCACGGCCGCGCCAAGCCCTGGCGGCGGCCCTCCAGGCGGCGCTCCAGCCGCGGCGAGCCCGGCCATCAGGTCCGCGCCGATGCCGCCAGCGGTCGCGCCTCCGACGCCAGGGTGGCGCGCCGGCGCCCCGCCAGCAGGCCCTGCCGCGCCGTGCTGCAGCCCGGCCAGCGCCGCCTGGATCCCAGCGTCCGTGAGGCGCACGTTGAGGCCGCGCGCCAGCTGCGCCAGCCCTCCGGCGGCCTCGCGCGCGTCGCCTCCTCCAGCCTGCGCCGCCGCGATGACGGCCTGGTGCAGGCCGCGCCCCCCGCGCCCGCGCCCACGGCCGGCTGCAGCGGGCGGCACGGCGCCCCCGAGCACGGGCGCCCCAGGGGGCGGCCCAGCGGCGAGGCCACCAGCGGCCGCTCCTCCCCACGGGGCGAACAGCGGGGCCCCGGGCGGCGGCGGGCCCGGCAGCGCGGCGAGGCCGTGCGCTCCTCGGCCGCCAGCCCCCCGACCACGCCCAGCACCGCCACCGCCTCCGCGAGCGGCGCCAGGCCCGGCGCCACGCCCGGCACGGCCGCGGCCGCGGCCCGCGCCACCGCCGCCCCGCCCGCGGCCCCTCGCGGCCTTGGGCGGCATGGCGACGCCTGCCCCACGCAGGGGCTCCTCTGCCCCCGCCGGGGGCGCGCGCGAGCGAGCGCGGAGCGGGAGCCGCTCTTCAAGCCGAGAAAGCTATGCAATGCAAGTGCGGCCTCTTCCAAACCCCCCCTCTCCCCCTCGAACTAACACTAGAGAACTACATGTATATCATTATTATTCGTATTATTAGTACTATTGTTGTTGTTATTATTATTAGTAGTATTATTAGTATTATTACTATTATTAGTATTATTAGTATGATTATTATTATTTGTGTTATATATATATATGTGTGTATAGTTTTCCGCCTCGAGTTTCTCGAGACGTTGGAGGTCTAAATCAAGGGATGGCTCTCGGACGGGGCCGGGACGAGGAGAAGTCCGTTCCAGAGCGTTCTGGGCCGCTCTCATAGCCTTCTGGCACGCTCCGAGAGGACCGCGGGCCCCCAAGGCACCCTCCAGAGCCGCCGGACCTCAGAGCTCCTCGATCTATCATCACGCGATGTTAGTATTGTTATTATTATTCTTATTATTATGATGATTATTATTATCATTATTCTTATTAGTATTATTATTGTTATTCGTATTGTTATTATTATTGTTGTTATTATTATTGTTATATATATACATTTACATATTATATGTTATATATAGATATACATATCATATGTTATATACATTTATTATTGTTGTATATATATATATATATATATTATTGCTACATACAAATATATTATTTATTATACGCGGAAAACGCAACGCGACCCGACCGCCCCCTCCAAAACAAGAAACGCGCTCAAAGAAAGCTCCGCGACTCTCCGAGGCTGAGATAGGACAAGAGCGAGGGGAAGGGAGTCAATAAGAGGTGTAAGAGCGGACGAGCCAGCGATCTCGTGCGCTCTGAAAGTAGGTGCGCTTTCCGTCCCCGTGCCAAGCAGGTGACGGAAAGCGCGCGTTAGCGTGCGGTCCGTTAGTCGGAAGAAATTTGACTTGGGGGAGTTCGAGGGGGTTGGCATCCGCGGGCCCGGATCTAATTGCCCTCCCGCCTCATTTTTATCGAGTAGGACGGCCTTCGGGGCTTAAAACAGCGTTTCGCTCGAGACATCATCGGAGAACGCTTCTTGGCCGCTTCTTGGGCCGTCTTAGGCGCCTAAGACAGCCCAAGAAGCGGCCAAGACGGCGCCCAAGACGGCCCAAGACGGCCCAAGAGGCGCCCAAGACGGCCCAAGAGCGCTCCAAGAGAACCCAAGACCGCCCAAGGCGGCCCCAAGACGTCCCAAGAGGCCTCCACGACGCTCCAGGAGGCGCCCACGAGACGTCCCAAGAGGGCCCCACGAGGCCAAAATCATTGATGTTCTTAAGGAAAACGTGCATTTCTAGCATATACGACTGTTCGCCTTTCATGGCGTTGAAGACGGTCCAAGAGGCCCCAAAGACCGCCCCAAGACGGCCCAAGATGTTCCCAAGAGGCCCCCAAAATAGCCCAAGAGGGCGCCAAGACGGGCCAAGAGGCGCCCAAGACTGTCCAAGAGGCCCCTAAGAGCGCCCCAAGAAGGCCCAAGAGGCCCCCAAGAGGGCCCCAAAACAGCCCAAGAGGGCGCCAAGACGGCCCAAGAGGCGCCAAGACGGCCCAAGACGGCCCCAAGAAGGCCCCAAGAAGGCCCCAAGAGGCCCCCAAGAGAGCCCAAGGACGGCCAAAGGCAGCCTAGTCCCTTCACCCCCGCCACCCAGAAGCTCCCAGGAGGCCCCAAGAGGCCCCCGAGAAGCCCCAAAAGGTCCCCAAGAGGCACCCAAGAGGCTCCCCAAGAGCCCCCCAAGAGGCCCATAATACTCCCAAAGGCTCTTAGCACCGCGGCTCCCAAGAGCGAGCGGTGACGTAATCGAGCTGATAAGACCAAAGCTCCCAACAGAGAGCTGCGGCGTAATAAGTTCTTGCAGCCAGGGCACAGGGACGGGCGGCAACGCGTGGACAACGAGCGGTCCACGCAAGGACAACGCGGGGTTCTGGAAAGCTGGCAGCCCAAACGCGGAAAACGCAACGCGACCCGACCGCCCCCTCCAAAACAAGAAACGCGCTCAAAGAAAGCTCCGCGACTCTCCGAGGCTGAGATAGGACAAGAGCGAGGGGAAGGGAGTCAATAAGAGGTGTAAGAGCGGACGAGCCAGCGATCCCGTGCGCTCTGAAAGTAGGTGCGCTTTCCGTCCCCGTGCCAAGCAGGTGACGGAAAGAGCGAGGTACGAGCGAGTGACGTTGAGTAGGGGGCGAAGCCCTTCTTAGGGGGGGTCCAGGGGGGGTGCGAGGCGCAGACGGAATGGTCTAATGGCCCGTTTCCCTCATATGTTTTCGAGTGAAGCGGCTCCCGGGCGGCTCCCATGGCTCGTTTCTTGCCCAGACGGGCCCAAAACGGCCCAGAGGCACCAAATATCGCCCCAAGACGGCCCCGGAGGCGCCCCAAACGGGCCCAAAACGGTCCAAGAGTGCCCCCAGACGGGCCCAAGACGGCCTATGAGGCCCGAGAGCTCATCCCAAGACGGCCCCAGAGGCGCCCAAAAGGGGCCCCAAACGGCCCAAGATGGTCTCCAGACGGCCCCAATACGGCCAAGAGGGCCCCGAGGGCCCCAAGAGAGCCCAAGAGGGCCCCAATAGGCTCCCCAGCGCGCCCGAAGAGGAGGAGGGGGAGGGGGAGAGGAGGAGGGGGAGGAGGAGGAGGAGGAGGAGGAGGAGGAGGAGGAGGAGGAGGAGGAGGAGGAGGAGGAGGAGGAGGAGGAGGAGGAGGAACGAGGAGGAGGAGGAGGAG